TTTTTTTTTTTACTTTTTGGCAATGATAACAAATTTGAATACCAGTTGTAAAAAAATATTTCACTCTAATGGACAATTTCCTTGTAAAATAAAGTCAAACGTGAACAAAAAAAATCCAAAATTTCAAAAATTTTCCGGGTGGAAAATTATACCAATCAAACACACTTGAAATCATTTTCCCTACAAAACATTTTTAGGCAAATCTTTTCCCTGTAAAACATTTTCTTTCTACCCATTTTCCACCATTCCAATCAAACGCACCATAAGAAAACAATTATATAAATTAATAAAATTCGACCGTTCTTTCTCAGTTGAAAAAGATTGTCCTCAAATCTTGAACTGATGTCTCATTAGCGGACGTAGGGGGCACAATCAAATTTGCAAAGAAATTATGAAAATCAGGCTTAATATACACTAAAATTTGATAATTATTTTATTGGGTGTTTGAACTTTACGTTGACATGATTGAATCATTTAATTTATTTTGTTAAACATATAATATAAATAAATAAATTTATTTCTTTTTAGTATTTAAGTATTTAGATGAGATAGTTCAATATAATATTAAAGTAAACAAATATCTTGATATCGGATTTTGGTGCCACCCATAATAAAAATTATGTATGAGTGTAATCATGACGAAAATCAAATTATATATGAATTGAAGGAGTGTATTGAAATTATAATTTAAATAAATAGGTGTAAAATCTAATAATTTTAACTTTGAAATGAGATGGTTCATTACCAACAACACACCCCATTTCATTATAAAATAAAAATATTATTATAAATAAAAAGTTCACTTACGTGTAAAAAATTATTTAAAGTATAAAAATACTTAAAACTTAAAATTTAATTAGAAGTAATATTTATTTTTACGTTAAAAATAATATATATGTAAATATTACTTATGAGCAAAAAAAATTCATGCAAGATATTATAAATTGAAAATTTTATTAAGGAGCATTTATATAGTTTTATTCTTTTAAAAAACTTTCAGAACTACTAGATAATAAACTTTAAAGCATATGTTGGACTTTTTTAAAAAGTACAACCAAAAATTATCCTTCATAAACGTCCAAAATCGATACTTCGAAAAAAAAAACTTCATAACAAGTACCCCAAACTCCCAAGAAGGCCCGAAAGCCCTAATACCTATATTGGACGATTTAGTCGCTAGCAAATTAAATAGAAAACAAGAAAACAATATAAATGAACAAATCAACGAACGATGTGCTCGCTCCAATCGAATTGAGGCAAGAGTTCATCAAAACTATTAATTTCCATTAGAGATCCACGATAAAATAGATTTCGCATTGATGTACCATAAATTAGCCCCAAATGTTTTTTTACATCTTGATCAATCCACAAAGGTTCTCTACAGTACACCAAATAGTTAAATATAAATGACTATCTACTGTTATCTCATTATTACACTCTCAACATATAACACAACGTCATAGAGTCCATTGAAGACACTTTAGATTATACAAAGAATCTAACAGAAAAGAGAGCTTCGGTGAGTTCATATAGAGACGAAGAATTAGGGTTTCGTCATTGCCTTCAAATGAGACAATTCAAGGTACGTATACACTCATCCAATGGACACGATGAGATTTTGAAATCCAATGGCCAAGATGCCTCAAATCAGTTTAAGAAGCATGCTTCTCTTATAAGCTGGATTTCTTGAAGTGCGACTTTGGTTAAAACTGGTCAACCATCAAACTTGTTTCACAATTTTAATAATTTTGTTTCAAACCTTCAATTAGAATGTGAATATTATTACTTTAAAGGTGACAGTTTAATCTTTGATGGAACTGACATTGAAAAATGCACATTTGTTGTCTTTGGATCACCTGACTAGTAGTTTAAATTATTATTGAATAGTAGGGAAAACTTGATTAAAGAAAAAAATTGAAATTCCTAAGGGTTTCTTTCCTTTCCTTTCCTTTTTTTTCACGAATTCTCAAATTTATCCCAAGTTTTCGAACTGATTTTCATTTCATTCTACGTCTTCGATGACCGTGTTCACTTACCTTATGCAGAGCAAGGCTCATCCTACATGCCATTTTTATTAGTAATGACCTTAATTGACACTGTGAGTCAAGGCTTTGATTACACTATCTACACTTCTACGTTTCAGCTTCAAACTAAATTTTTTTTTTTCAATATAATTTTTCATTTTTAATGATGTTTTTTTAAATTTTCAGAAAATTATTTTCGTAATATTCGAATTTCAAATTAGATTTCATCCATATCAGTTATACTGATTAAGAGCTCGTTTGATTCTCATTAATTGAGAAAAAAAATGAGTTTTAAATATTATTTTTAGGAGAATGTGTAGTTAAAAAAATAAGAAGAAGTTTTGATATACATGTAGAATATTTTATTGTGTGAATGTGTGTTTGAAAATGATCGTGTAACAAATTATAAAATAAATTAATTGGTGTCAAACCGGCACCAAATGACAACATTTTTTTATCATATGATGAGTCAAATTTTAAATTAGAATAGTACATTTATACCTGCAAAATTCTAATTGTTTTGCGCTTAAAGTTTGGATGTGTGTTTATCCTTCAGCCCCTAGTGGGATTGACAATCTGATGATCAATCCATTTACGGGGGATGCTCGGAGCTTATCGAGGCTAGCGTGCTCAAGGTTGCAGGTTTGCTTAGCGGAGAAAGATGCATTTATGCCTATAGGGGTAGAATGGTGTAGTGCAGCTGGTGGTGGTTGAATGAGAAGATAATTGCTTTCTTGTAAATGATCCTCACACTGAGAAAGCAAAGGATTTGATTAAGCAATTGGCTTTTTTTTTTTTTTTTTTTTTTATTTCACGATGAGATTTTTTAAACTTTTGCAATAAAGGGGTGTTTGGTGAGGATTATAATTAGATTTTTAGTAGGTTTTAATAGAAATTTTTGAAATGTGTCGTTGAAAAACTGTGAGACACATGAAAGATGTGGTTAATATTAATTGTTTGACTTTGATTTAAATTAAAATATAATTTTAATTTGTACCAAACAAGCTCTAAGTATTCATATTTTAGTTTTTGTTGAACATGTTGTGGCCAAGTTTACAATATCGTTTACTTGTGCAAGATTAGTTTTTTACACGTATCTTCATTCATCTATAATATATTAAATATCGCATCAAGTGAGAATCATTTTTTGGACGATTTTAACCCTACTACAATTCAATCATTTCAATATTTTATTTTTCGTTTTTCAATATGTAATAAATACTACAAAATTCTTATCATGTATGAATTTCGTGTTATTAATTTTCAATTAATTAACATTCACATTAATCTAGATTCAATGAAACTTGACTTGATGAATCTTGATTTACATGAATCTAGAGTTATTATAGATAAATTTATTTCTATTCATGTATTTAGGAATTTTAATGGGTGTTTAAATTCATGTATCAACAATTAATTCTTATGTACCCAATGTAGTATAAAAATGTTACTCATTTGTAATATTTCATCATCACAAAAAATTTGAAATATAAAAGTTGAGTTTTGAGAGTACAAATTTTTTTTTCTTAAATTTCTATTCTAAATTTTATTTTCTTTAGTTTGTTTGAAACTCATCAAATCCTCACAACAAATTAATATTAAATATTTTTACAGTATTTATAAAGTATTTCAGATTAACGTGCACGTTCAATTTTGACTAGTATAAGTAAATAATAATATCTTTTATCTTTTCTTTTTCTTTAGAGTTGAGAATAAATTATTTCTTCTATATATTAAAAGTGGCTATGTAACGGAATTTCTTGTTTTTAATGGAAAAACTAACGGAATTTGTTGTTTTAACAGACTATGTAACAGAATTTCTTATTTTAAACAGGCAGCTGCACCTTCTTT